CAACAAAAATGGAATGATGGTGATTTGGGAAGATGGTTACATTCTATTCTCCCACAGGTGTCGAACAAACCGTGGTTCAAAGGGTTGGACATGAGTCGCGACTTTATACGCGTTATATCAAGGCTTATGTCCAATCACTGCTCGTTAGACTCGCACTTCTATCGAATTGGGCTCTCAGGCAGCAATTTATGTGCGTGTGGGAGTGGTTATCACGATATCGAGCATGTTGTTTGGTCATGTACCTTACACCGTGTTGCCAGATCTGAGTTATCCACATCCCTCAGGCCCGAGGAAAACAACCCGCGATACCCGTTAGAGATGTCTTGGCGAGCCGAGATCTCGATTATTTGAATTTAATTTATGTGTTTTTAAAACGGATAGATCTGAGGATTTAGTAGTTAGTGCCATCTTGTGTTCTCCCAAGTTGTTAGCTGCCCATCGGTGTACCCCCATGTTTGTCTTTTTCATCAGAGTGTCGCTTAGTTCGAGATCAAGAGCACATTGCTCTCCAAACCTTGTGTTCACAATCCCTACCCTGCCATCCATTTGTTACAATTTGTTACCCCTAACCTCGAGATAGCCGCGAATAATCGGCCCCCGCTTTACTAAAGTTAGTTTTAAGTAATTTTGTAATCTAAACAATGAATATCGGCTCCGCAAAGCTACAGCAAATGAGCCTGGAAAAATAAACGCGTTGGCAAAAAAAAAGATGCATTCTATCACATTTCACGTTTTTTTTTTAAATTATCCCTCCTAAATAAGTGTAAAATCCGAAAACTTGTACAATCTTTGAACGCCGTTTTCTCATTTCCAGTTTTGTACAGATGGGACTGATTTGCGGTTATGGGCAATTTAGATTCCTTAAACAATTCGTAAAACTAATTCATCGCTTTTCCACCCTGGTTAAATATTAATTTTGGTTTTCTTCCTAATGTTATTGAGCATGATTCTCGTCATCTTTATCAATAATTTGAATGAGATAACTTGAAACTTGATACTAAGGAAATGATCGGGAAAATTAAAAAAAAAAATGTTGTTAGGGGTTTCAAGGGAAATTAAAAAAATCAGGGAGTGGAAAATCAGAGAATTGTAAGACTTAAAACTAACTTAATTTTAATACGACTAGAAAAAAACTTGAAACTTAAAGACAAAGTTTGAAAGTTTCTGGTACAACTTTGCCCAATTGCTGAAAAGTACCAACAAGTCAATTGCAATAGAAGATTTTTCACGGATAGATCACGCATTGATGGATCCACTGGCTTCGGCGTCTTCAATGAATACTCAACCACCTTTCGAAAACTTCAGGCACCTTGTTCCGTTTATGTTACTAAGCTATCAGCAATCAACTTCGTATGGGGATGATTTCCGATATGCCCATAGACCATTACCTAGGCGAGTAAGAGAGGTTACACAGTCGGAAGAAGTGTTAGTTTGTTTACTAAAATGAACCATGCCCATTTTGTTATGGCAAGTTTGCTATAAGAAATGCTCTTCGTGTTTATTAGTGAAATTCACATCAAAGATTGATTAATTGCGTAGGAAATCAGTTTGACACGGCATTTGTGACCAGCGTACACCTTCCATATGAAACAGGTCAAAAACAGTCCAAATTCGCCCAAAAAAAATTTAGTTTTGAATTTCTGTATGGCAAAATAGTGAACTTTTCGCGAACATTAACGGCAAAGAACTCACCAACACTGGGAGACCGTGAGTTCCTGCCCACCTGTCATTTTCCATCTCGGACCATTACTACATCTTCTCGGATAGTCTCAGTTCGATTGAGGCTATTCGGTCGATGAAACAAGGTAGGCACTCATCTTATTTCCTTTCAAAGGTAAAGCAAACCCCACACGCATCAACATATTGTTGCTAAGGGGAATTATTGACAATAATATTGATGATGTGAATTCAGAAATATTGTCAATCTCGATGTATTGACGTCAATATATAATGTATTGACAATATGATTATTGTCAATAAAAGCAATCGTGTACGGTCCACTTAAGGGAGCAGATGAGTGTGCATACGAGGGGCACGCAATTGCCTTTTTGACTGCGTTGGATTTAAAGTACAAGGTGTTCAACTATGTAATTAAGTAATTAAAAATGAAAATTAAGTATTGCATGTAATTAAATTTAATTTCGCGTAATCAAAGCAGTGTCACTGTAATTACTGTAATTAAACACGTACTTCAATTTGATTACGTAATTAATGTTATTAAAAATTTATTTTCTGTAATTAATGTAATTAAAGTTACACAAATGTAATTAAAAACGTACCCAAATCCTTATGCATGAACTATTTAAAAAAAAATAAGAAAACCCTCAACACATAATTGAATGAATCAGTTTATTCAAAAACTCTACTTACACCCCGAAATACGCCCATATATGTTTTACTAGACTACAAACATGACCAATTCTGCGAATACTTATACTAAATTTCTTGAAGCACCATGCTAGAGTTCCCGCATAAACAATAACCATAATAACCACCTAGCCACCAATTCGGGATATCATCCCAACTTTATATGGTGTGGTCGTACCATCTATGATATCGTTAGTGTATGGCACCCGTTGATTAGGGTTGGAAACTGAATAGTCCACTCGCGACAATCGATTTCACTCTCGTTTTGTACGTTAAACTTTATTTCGTATCTAGTGCACTGTATTTGTTGAATAATGCGACGTTATGTTTAACATAAAACGAGAATAAAATCGATTGTCACGAGTGGGTTATATCGGTTTACAACTCTAGCGACAATATACAGTGATAAGGAAGTGATACTCATAATGAGGGTTGTGATTGCCGTACAAATGAAATGGGAATCACTTAACTGTGACGACAAGTGACAAGTTTTCACCGTAAAGTGACATCCGTTATAAGGTCCAATATCAGCTTTACATTTTTTAATTAGAACCTCAATTTTGAGTCTTCAAATTTTACATTTCCTTAAATTAAAGCAAATCCTCGAGCAATTTCTTCCTGATTAAAAAATGTTCGAATTTTAAGCTATGTTCACAGCACAATTAGAAAGATGATGATATTAGCACAGACAAACAGACATAACACTCGCAAGTTGTTCATCGAACAAGCATTTAACGGTCAATTTGAAAGTATCGTAGTTGGTAGTACAGCCACATGTGGCGCGCATAGTCAATTCCCTTGCGTTTGACGTTTACACACTACCGCCATCTGTTCAGCGTACTACCCACCACAGTGTACTCAACAGATGGCGGTAATGTTTTAGTGACGATGTTTTACAGTGAGAAATATTCAATGTGTTATGTCTGTTTGTCTGTGATATTAGCTTGTGCCTGAATTAACAGATTCAATGAAAGATGCATTTCGATTCTTTCAATGTTCCTCTCAAACTAAATATTATAGTATAAATAATAATTAGCAGATTTAAGGAAAAGTTCACTGCCAAAAAAAATACGTTTTGATTTTTATAAAAAAATATTGAGAAAAGATATCAATAATATCAATTTTTCTTTTCTTAAAGAAAATTCACGTACAAAAACATTTTTTATAAGTCATTATGGCATAAAGTGAGACTCTAAGAACCCAAAAAAATCGAACTTTCGGCTTTGCTGAGGGTCCAAATTTTTGTCGTGATGACACACAGAAAAAACTATCACCGAAATAAAAATATATTAGGTAAATATAAACGTAAACTCAGTTTGTTCTGGCCACAAAAATAAACTAGGTTGCTTCAAACGTATTTTAAGTTAAAAGTTATGTGACATTGTATATAAATATTCATGTCAAAAATAAACGTGAATATTCTTGTTTGATTTGACAGCTTGTAACCAGTTGGTTGCAATCCGTGGATTTTCGTCTGTATGAGTTATTGTTGGTTGGGAAAATTCACGTTTTGTTAAACCTAAAACAGTAGACACACACAAGAGCGAGAAGGCTTCTGCCGCTTCCAAAACACTCATAGGATACTGAAGGGAGGAAAATCCTAGCCTTAAGCTAAAAATGGATGCGCATATGATGAAAAGAGGATTGGCAAAATTGATTGAAGAGAGCCATCTTAGATATGGAAAATTAGGCAGAAGTAAACAGGAATCCGTGTGAACAAGACCATAGTGAAGTGCAGTGAAATGGTTTAGACCCACCCTCCCCCCCTTTAGGAACACACCCACACCCATACGCCACAGAAAGGGCAATAAATGTTTTAGAAAATGTGAATATTCCTGTGTTTTCATACTTTGTCCGCGTAGCCCCTCCGAATACCCAGTAACATGCTGACTAGACTGATGCAAAATTTGACTTTTTCGCTCCACAATACTTAAACGAATCCAAATCGGATCCCGACTAACCTATCAAAATTTGAACCCCTTTGGTGAGAAACTGAGATGGCACAAACCATTTGAAGTTTGTATGGGAATTACTATGGGCGGTGAGTAGTTCGTGGTACTCACCGCAGCGCTGCCATCAGATCACTTTGACGTTTCTATATATTCTGTTTACCTTACGTGCAATATTGTTTGCGACTTAAGAGCAAGCTTGTTTTCCGCGAGAACCCCAAGAGATGTCGTTACTGAGGTCCCATGTTTTGAGGTACTATGTTTTTAAGAAAAACTTATTCAAAGAGTTGCGTCTGTTTGTCTGTGGTTTCATCATACACCGATACAATAACATAGCTTCGAACAATCATCGGTAGTTTTATAATTGGTCGGTGTTTAGTCAGACCGGACTATCATACGTTCGGGAAAAACAAATTTAAAGTTTGCTTAGTAGCATTGTTTCTTATGTAATGGGACAACCCATTTGGCTGGTCTCCCTTGCTGTTTGTAACATTTACCAAATCTGACTAAAATGAAATGTAGCTGAGGAAAATCTTGATAATATGTTATCGTTATGTCATATTTTTTTGAATGTTGCTTCTTAGTCCCCTCTGACTTAACGCCGATCAATTTTGCTGTAAAACGTACTACTAGTGAGAAGGCACCTACTAGGAAGAGATCACAATGTCAAAGCAATAAATTTACCTTTTGTCCTTTGCGCATAAATTATCCAGCATCTCTCGGCACCAGATATCCGCTTCGGTTTTATTGAAATACAGCAGGCTTATGGACTCCCTGTGGAAAGATGGGCGGGCGAAAAATTCATATAGTTAGTAATGCAAACAGTAGGTAGACGATTCCATGCACATTTTCAAGTGTACGAAAGCCACCGGAGAGTATAATAGGAACACACTTTGAAGGAAGAAGCATCATAATACACACACCGTAATTGAGTTGTTGAGCATGTAAAAGGATTAAGTTTTTAGCAGAAAAGTCGAGATTTATTAATCTATTTTTGGAAATGCTTCCGAAGGAAGAGGTTGGGTGCATATTTCCTATTCTCGTACATGCTGTACACCGGAGCGGAAATTGATCCAGAAAAGCGGAAAATATAAAATGTCGACAATGACAATACAGGAACTAGACAGCCAGTCGGTTCAGAGCATGTGGCATTAGCTCTTCTTTAGCATATCGTTGCAATATTGCCTTTTGTATAGCTTAGATACCTACAATTTATGCTATCCGGCTTGATCCATTTTGATATCCTGGTGGATGGGACGGTGCGCACCAGGAATCCAACCGGTGGTATTCATTGGGATATGGTATCCTCTGCGCCGCCTTCCCCAGCCCGAAGGAGTTTCCGTTCGGGTTTCTACAACGTTATTGTGTTTCTATTTACATTCCATGTATGTGGGAATAAATGTCAACACCGTAGTCGGATGGACGGAAGCAATGGGTGAATGTTACGACTGATGTGGAAAATATCCGAGCTTCCCTGTCGGGTTTTCAAGTGCAAAAGAAAATGCTTTCCTTGCGGGTGATGCGGAAAGCAAGGGATTTGAAAACACATACGGCAGATTGTGCCGATTTGTTTAAGCATCTATTCATAGAATTCTAAGGGCATCTCGAGCGACAAAGTCTCTCTTTAGAGCTGCGAGATACTGCGAAAACCAAAGTAAGAAACGTGTTTATCGAGATATCATTCTTCTGCTCCTAGAATTCAAACGTAGTTTTCTTCCATTGGAATCACTCGAAAACGAACAACGTACCCACGTAGGTGTACTGATCGCTGAAATCGTTTTGCCATTCACGGTCGATCAGATCGACTCAAAATTGAGGTAAAATTTTCCTCACAATCGAGAAGTGTTTCCACGCCTTTTGCCCGGAAAATTCAACTCCCTTTTGAGTAAAATCCACTTTTGGCGAAATTTAGTCGACTCGACTCAATTTTGAGTTGCTCTGACCGACCGTGTAGTAGACAATACACAACTAAAGCACTCTAGTGAAAGTATGGACGACTTTCACCACAGGGTAAGGGGCCTCCCTTAGCTCAGTCGGTAAAGGCGCAGCTACAAAGCAAGACCATGCTGGAGGTGGCTGGGTTCAATTCCCGGTCCGGTCTAAGAATTTTTCAGGTTGGAAAATTTCTCGACTTCCCTGGGCATAGATGTATGATTGGACTTGCCACACAATTATACCAATGCAAAAATGGTACAGGCATCCCCGCATAAACGCGAACCATAAATTGACCTTACCTAAAATGGTTAAAAATTGTTTATAATCCCTGCTAAACTTTAACTGAAATGGTTATGGAACTTTACATGAACGTTTACTGATAAAGTTTCAACCTTATGTATTATGGTTTTTTGGAACTGGACCTTACAAATAATGGGTTGTTAAGAACCATTACCATTCCAAATTCTTGTTTTCTCCATACATTTTCTGAAAGAGAACTATATAAGAACGTTTTTACTTATGATTTGAGAACTTTAATGGTAATGGTTATGGAAGTCAGTAAGGTCCATTAATGGTTTTGTATTATCGCTCAACTTTACGTGGAATATATCGTGAATTGGTAATCAGTAAATTACAGGCAACCACTTTGCGATATATTCCACATAAAGTTGATCGATGTTACAAAACCATTCGTGGACCTTACTGACTACCATAACCATTACCATTAAAGTTCTCAAACCATAAGTTAAAAGGTTCTAATATAGTTCTCTTTCCGAAAATGTATGGAGAAAACAAGAATTTGGAAAGGTAATGGTTCTTAACAACCCATTATTTGTAAGGTCCAGTTCCAAAAAAACATAATACATAAGGTTGAAACTTTATCATTCAACGTTCATGTAAAGTTCCATAACCATTTCAGTTAAAGTTTAGCAGGGAATATAAACAATTTTTAACCATTTTAGGTAAGGTCAATTTATGGTTCGCGTTTATGCGGGTCGAAAGCTCTCAATTAATAACTGTAGAAGTGCATCTAGAACACTAAGTTGAGAGCACGCAATAAGCTAATAGGGGAAATGTAGGTAATGTCGGCCTACATGTCCCTAATTTGGGCCCATCGCTAAAAGTATGCTATTGATCAATTTTATCTAGATGAACGCGTTATTGGGACGTTACTAATGGATATTTTTGGTTGCTATTGAAAATTTAGTTGATTGCTGAATTTATGTATGGGCCCAAATTAGGGACACTTAGGCCGACATTACATGCATTTCCCCTATGTGATATGCAATAAGCTTGAAATGCGAAGAAGAAGAAGAAGAAGAAGACTTTCACCACAAAACTGAAATAAAGTTGTTCCAATGGAGCAAAGCAGTGCATTTTGCCAGTTCGATTGGAACAACTGCTGACAGCCGTCCATACTTTTATTTAGAGGACCCAACCCCTACACGGCGAATGAGAACGACCCAAATTAGAGTTTAGTTAACTCATAATCGCCAAAAGTGCAGGAACTCAGCGATGAGTAAATTTATCTCATGGTTTCCTGTGGAAAACCTAAAAAATCTGCCGGAAAATGAGGAAATTGACGAAAATTTTATTCAGTCTCGGGGTAGTACCAGTAGACTGAGTGAATCCAATCTTAACTTTTCTCAAATTCGGGAATTTTTCCCTGGAAAATCCTGGAAAAACCTGGGAAAACATGAGGCAAATTTACTCATCGCTGAGTTCCTGCACTTTATGGGATTTATGAGTCAACTAAACTCAAATTTGGGTCGTTCTCATTTGCCGTGTACCAAAAATATACGCACGAAGCTCTTGCTTGCTTCTCCTGAAGCTGCTTTTCTTCTTTTTTTCTGTCTTCAGGTGCGTACATAGGTCGGGGTTGGAGTCTACTGGGAGCTCTGAGCCTGTATCTTTCATTTAACAGACGTTCAATGGACCTTCGAACAAGTAACAATCTTTAACAATCTTCCACGTTCTTAAAATAAATGTTTGTCAAACTTGTAGAAACATTTATCTGAAGCATCTTTGCTGAATAAACCAATTTTCCGCTTCTGATTCTGGTTGATGCTTCAAACTGCCTTTTTAACGAAATAAATTTCGTAAAGTAGTGACTTAAAAGATAATTTAGAGAGAAATTTAAGCGTAGGAGACGACGCGGTAAGACCCTAAGCTTAAAGTTAAATTCTACCAAAATTATATAGAATTTCAGCGATAAATTAAGTGAATATTGGTGTTTAGAGTACTTTCCCTAATTGCATTGATTTTCAGGAAATTCCATTTTCATTTACAGGGCTGGTAGCGATCACTGCTGTCAAAAATAGTGATTTTAGTGACCATGTTGAAGAAATGAGTGACTTATAGTTGTAAAAATAGTGACTAAAAAGTGACCTAAGAGAAAATAAATATTTAATGTTTTGGACTTATTCAATAAGTATCTCATAAACACTTATATACGATATGAACCTTTCAAGCGAAAGATTCAATAGAAAGTTTATGGCCAAACCCACGGTATTAGTCAGGGTGTCTACTAACTGCAAAAACCTCGAAAACTGGGAATCCTCAGGAAATTTTATTTTTCCTTAAACTATGTGGAAGGCTCAGAGAATTTAATAATTTTCGTACTAAGGATATTTTAAAGAATAGGATTAATTTTAAAATACAAGCATTTAATTTTTCTCGTTATTATCATTCACACTTTGAACTTTATAGATCCTCCTTTAGATGATAGTTTTGAGTAGAATTTCAAGAAATCCTGAATTGAATTAAAGCAAAGTTTAATGAAAACTCTTTAAGCAAAATTCCAAGGGCCTTCTGAGGATAATTTTGTGTTTGTGGGCATCTGGAGCATAAGTATTTGGAATCTTTTTGAAAATACTAAAAGGAGGATTACAATTAAATCTGAGAATAACTCAAGACTATCTTCAAAGAAATTCGATTATGAGAAAAAATTTAAGGTATTTGTGAGGAGAAATGCCAATGAATTCTTAGGGGACTTACAATATGACTAGAATTCCAAGGGAAGGAGTGAGATTCAAAAGGAAATCTGAAATGAATTCAATGAACATTTGGAGAATTTTTTCCAAAGGGTTTCTTATTGTGGAGAATTTCAAGATAATTCCGAGGATAACTTTATTGAAATGTTGAGGAATATTTCAATGGAAATCAGAATGGACTATTCTGAGGTCTTCAGAACTACTTAAAAGTTCCCAATTTGAAGTTAATGAAACTGCCTTGAAGTTCTTTTGTAGTTTGAGAAACTAGCCGGATGTTCACAATACTTCTCACCAGATTCTGAAACTTACCTGAATTTAATAGGACTTCCTAAAGTTTCCTCAATGTTTCTAACGATCATGGATGTCCGCTAAATGTTTAACAATTCGCTGAAATTCTCTAAACTTCTTTAAAATTTATGGGACTTCTCTAATCTTAACGGAACTATTCTGAGGTTCCTTGTTCTTTTCTGAAATTCTCAAAACTTCTCTAAAGTTCTTATGAACCTTGTTGTACTGCGCGGAATTTAATTGAAGCTTCAGTGAACTTCTGAACGTATGCGAAGACCTCAATTAACTTTTTAACGTCTCTGAAGTTATCTGAAAATCTAGGAACTGCTTTCAATTTCCCACTAAATTTCTGAAACTAATGAACCTGGCCTCCCCAAGTTTTGAAGCTTACTAAACTTCTCTCAAATACTCCCGCATTTTGCTAATGTTCATACAGTTTCCTGAAGTTTGCGGATCTCTCCTTAAGCTCCATACATTTCTATAAAGTTCTCGAAATGTTTCTGAAGACCACTGTCCTTCTGTGAAGTTTTCGAAGTTTTTCTAACTTGAACTTTTGTG